GAAATATTATTTTGATTTTATTTCACATTAATTTTTAAAAAAAAATTATGAATTCGGTATTTAAAACAAGTATATTTACAATTTATATGAAATCGTATGACTTTGATATGAAAAAATATCAAATGTCGTTTCGAATTTAGTTCGAAAGGGAGAAATAGTGTTTCACAGTTTACAACACTGTACCAATGTGAGATTGTGCAGCACTGCAAAAACAGCTGGCCCAACTTTGAGACCAAAAATATTCGAGAACAAGGTGTTTTTATTGTCAAATGAAATCAATTTATTTTTTTATTGAGTGCTAAGTCGAAACATTACAAAGTTGTGGTGATTTTAACTTTGCCGTCGAGTTAGCACACAATTTAAAGACATTTCGGTTCTGAATGTGCGTGTGTGTGTGTGCCGGCCGCAGTTTTACGTTGTGTGTGTCACAGGCAAAACTAAAATAATAAAATATTGAAGATTTTGCTGGCCCACCTATACATATGTACACCGACTCAAAAAAATGTGAAATGATTAGAATTAAATTGTTTTAATAAAAAATAAAAATTTCTGTTTTACTGGGGGGTACTAATAATATCATTTTGATGAACAAAATTGATAAAAAATATCATTTTGATGACAAAAATTGATATAAATAATATCATTTTGATGACCAAAAAGTTCAAATGTTATTTTAAACACTAATTTTTCTTAAGATTGAATTGATATTTAAAAATATCAACTTGATATTCTCGAAAATATCAACTTGATATGTTCGAAATATCAATCTTGCATTATTTAATATCGGCCCAAATTTGATATGAAATAATGTTAACTTGAGTGCAATTTCATATCAATTTTTTTTTCTGTGTGCTCAAAAGGAGCTGGATGGCATCGCAGCAGCTTGCGGATATGTTCTGGAAGCGGTGGCTATTGGAATACCTGCCGGTGATCACGAGACGTGGGAAATGGTGTCACGATAGCAAACCGCTAGAAGCAGGTGACATTGTTTACGTATGCGACCCCGGCAACCCCAGATCCAGCTGGCCCAAAGGCCGTATCTTGAGCGTGAGGCTCAGCGCAGATGGACAAGTGAGGAGCGCTACAGTGAAGACGATGTGAGACCAGCCACGAAGCTCGCAGTTCTATCTATCGAGTCTAATGGGGTAGAATTCAGTCGGAATATACCGGCGGGGAGTGTTGCGATAGATTATAAGAACTAGTTCGGCGGGACATTTCTAACACTAGGACGTATACTATCGATATTAAGGCCGATAGGGGAGATCGATATAATGTATGGGAAAGGTGCCCACCATTCGATTCCTGGAAGTTAGCACATGTAAAGTTTTCACTCTTTTCTGATTTGGCACGGGAAGTAAGCGGACTAAAATTAAGAATTGTGAACCTAAGTTAGAAACCCTAACCTAATATTGTAACCTACAGGAAATTTAAGTGCTCGCCAAATGCTCGATTTGAATTGCTTCGCATTGAAGTGCTTGCGCTAATAAATATTATTGGAAACTACGTATGCTTCAGTTGTCTTGGCGGCGCTGGAACTTTTCGAACTCCCGCGACAAGCATTAAGGTGCTAAAAAAGTGTGCCAAGGGTTAGAATAAAATAGATGGGGGTTAAGGTGAGGTAATATTAGGGTTAAGGCGGTGTTAAGGTAAGATGTTATGGTTTTGGTTAGAAGGATATGGATAGCTTCGTTGTCAGAGTAAAATCCCGCCTAACCTTAGCTAAACAGTAAACCCACCAAGAACGCACTAATATTCTAATATTAAATTTATTAAATTTTATAATTTTTTATTTTTACTAAATAAACTTTTTAAAAAAATAAAAAATTATTTAAAAATGTTTAATAAATTACATAATACAAAAATATAATACGAAACAAAATTTTTAAATTATTGTTTATTAAATGGACGGTTAAATAAATAATTGTAAGTTTTTAATAGATTAAAAAATGACTTTTTACTTTTTGTCATTCAGAAATTGTCAAAAGACTTAAAACTTAACTTTTAATCATTAACAATTGTTAAAGGACTAGTAAACTATGAGAAAACGTGAATTCCATAAGGATCCGATAAGAGTGAGAGAGTAGACCTACATGTTGAGACGTTTTTTCATTGAAAAAAGCAGAGGCCTTATTAAAACAAATTCGATATTTTAAAAACTAAAAGTGGCTCCAACTTTTTACAAAAACCGATTATTTTTTTTGTGGGGGCAATGGATAAAAATTTTTTTTAAATGTTAATTTGTTTTTATTTTTCAGAAATTAAAAAAAAATTTTTTTTAGAAATTTTATTTTGAAAGAAGAGTTTTTAGAGAAATTAATGCAAAAGACATGAAGTCAATCGGATTCATATAACCGGAGGTACAGATTTTCAATGAGAGGGTACTTTTTCAAATTTGACGATTTTTGGCAAACTTAAAATAATTCTAACTAAAAAAAAATTTTTTTTTCGGTCAAATACTGATACCAGGGACTGCAAATAAGTCAAAATAGCGTCCAAAAAATAAGGGAAAAAACCACTTACTTAGTATGGTTCGGCAAATGGGAAAACGTGATAAACCTTTTTTTTCAATTTTTATTTTATAAATTAAAAATAAATCTTATTTTTCAATTTTTAAATTAAAAATTGAATATAAGTCTTATTCTTCAATTTTTATTATAAAAATTGAAAATAAGTCTTACTTTCCAATTTTTATAATAAAAATTGAAAATAAGTCTTATTCTCCAATTTGTATTATATAAATTAAAAATAAGTCTTATTCTCCAATTTTTATTATATAAATTGAAAATAAGTCTTATTCTCCAATTTTTATTATAAAAATTGAAAATAAAAATTGAATGCAACTATCTTTTAAACCAATGCGAATATGGGCCAAAATCTAAAACAGGATTGATCTTCGAGTCAATACCTTTCATATGAGCTATGACATGACTATGACCAAGGATATTTTAAGGACTTATAACGCTTTTTAATGTTTTATATATGTAACTTCTATGTTCGGTGGAAGTACATGACGTCAAAAAAAACATTTAGTACCAGAAAATCCAAATGATAAGAATAAATATCCCAGTCGAAATGCACCTGTCCATCTGTCTGATTTTGCATAAAGTAATTAAAAATGAAAGTCGCGAATTTTCCAATTATTTAAAAGTATATTTAGTTAAGTTAAGTTATGTATGATTCACACAAATAAATCCTCTTGTTCCTAAGAATTCGCGGTTTTTTAAGAATCGACATAGAATACTTATTTAGGTATCTGAAGTTAAGTTATGTAAGATACACAAAAATATATCCTCTTGTTCCTAAGAATTCGCGGTTTTTAAAAAATTGATCTAAAGATGTATTCCGCGAATTTTTAGGATTAGCTTGAGTGGATTATACACAGTTTAACTAAGGATATCAATTTTATGAAAACCGCGAATTCTTAGGAACAAGAGGATATATTTTTGTGGATCATACATAAATTAACTTAACTAAATATACTTTTAAATAATTGGAAAATTCGCGACTTTCATAGACTTTCATGTCATAGCTCATATGAAAGGTATTGACTCGAAGATCAATCCTGTTTTAGATTTTGGTTCATATTCGCATTGGTTTAAAAGATATTTGCATTCAATTTTTATTTTCAATTTTTATAAAAAAAATTGGAGAATAAGACTTATTTTCAATTTATATAATAAAAATTGGAGAATAAGACTTATTTTTAATTTATATAATAAAAATTGGAGAATAAGACTTATTTTCAATTTTTATTATAAAAATTGGAGAATAAGACTTATTTTCAATTTATATAACAAAAATTTAAGAATAAGACTTATTTTCAATTTTTATAATAAAACTTATTTTTCAATTTTTTTTATAAAAATCAACAAATAATTATTATTTTCTAATTTTTATTTTAAAAATCATAATAATTACGATCCCTGCCTGATACACGTGTTTACTTATTTTCCGAATACGTGTAAAAAAAGTTTCAGGCAAATCAAAAATGTGACCCAATAAAATGTTTTCGGTTTGTAAAAGAACCGCCCATATATACTTTATAGGGTCGGAAATGCTTCCTTCTAGCTGTTACATACTTTTGCACGAATACAATATACCCTTTTACTCTACGAGTAACGGGTATAATTATATGTTTTTGGTTATGGATAATTTTTTCGAATATCTATTGAATTAAAAACTTTTGAGGGGTAAAAAATGTCCTACTTTAAAAAAAGAATATTTTGTTCAGCGACAAGATAGGCCGTTTTTAAATAAGTACCAAAGAAATCAGTAAGCAATACAGACCAAATACGGTTAGATTTGTGTATTGATAAACGTAAAAACTATAATAGATTTTGTTTTCCCGAAGATGTGCCCATTAAAACAATTGAACTTGTTAGTGGGTGAATCAACGAGTCTCTCTTTAGTTTTATATTTAAAAGAGTATAGAATTCTATAAAATGTTAGCAGTTACTAATAGTTACAGGTTTTTTGACTCGCACACTTTTGAAGTCAAAAACACATCGTCCTAAAAACACAAGTCGGCTGTGTGCGCTAACAATTATTTTTCATATTTTACACTTTTGTGTTTGACACACATGTCAACAACTTTGCTCACACTGTAAAATACAATTTTTCATGTTTTTAACATGTGTGTCAAATTCCGAACCCTGCATGAGCGTGAATTCTCTCAGAATTTAGAGTAGAGGTAACGACAATTAGAACAGTGTTATTTATTCATCTTTATATATTTAATATTAGAAATTAAGCTTTGAAATCGATTAAGATTTAAGCGCCGGAATTGACCTCTCAACTGATATTTGTTATACTTACTTAAAATTTAGCCATTAAAACTAATTTTGTTGGTCATTAATGATCTCTGTATTTACATACGGAAGAATATGGTTCGATTTAGCGCATTTAAACAATTCGGTTTAGAATGCGGCGTGTAATCGATTTGACACTCGTATTTCTTAGGTAATCAAATAAACACACTTGAAATAATAAATTAACTGGCTATCTGTCATATCTAAACGATGGCCGGACTAAATTGGATAACTTTGCTGCAACTTGTAACTATTTTTGGTGGTCAGTAACAATACGTAATTTTTAGTGTGTTGCAATAGATAATTCGTAATTTTTTTCAATAAGCCTTTCCATTAGCCGAACTCAAAGTGACATCCGATTGGTTAAGGCAGCGATTCTTAAAAGCTTTTTCGAGTGCTGGATCTGTTGTTAAAGTCGGTTCAATGAGCTTGGAGAATCTTGGTGCAGCTATATCTAATATGAGTAACATACCAAAAGGCATGGCTCAAACTATCAACGATCTATTCGGCGCAGCTCAAACTGAAACTGATTCCGATCCATAGTGTTCCAAGGAAGGATCATGTATCAATGTGATGTGCTGATGTGCTGATGTGCTGATGTGAGACAGGCAGACAGGCAGACAGGCAGGCAGACAGGCAGGCAGACAGACAGACAGACAGACAGACAGACAGACAGACAGACAGACAGACAGACAGACAGACAGACAGACAGACAGACAGACAGACAGACAGACAGACAGACAGACAGACAGACAGACAGACAGACAGACAGACAGACAGACAGACAGACAGACAGACAGACAGACAGACAGACAGACAGACAGACAGACAGACAGACAGACAGACAGACAGACAGACAGACAGACAGACAGACAGACAGACAGACAGACAGACAGACAGACAGACAGACAGACAGACAGACAGACAGACAGACAGACAGACAGACAGACAGACAGACAGACAGACAGACAGACAGACAGACAGACAGACAGACAGACAGACAGACAGACAGACAGACAGACAGACAGACAGACAGACAGACAGACAGACAGACAGACAGACAGACAGACAGACAGACAGACAGACAGACAGACAGACAGACAGACAGACAGACAGACAGACAGACAGACAGACAGACAGACAGACAGACAGACAGACAGACAGACAGACAGACAGACAGACAGACAGACAGACAGACAGACAGACAGACAGACAGACAGACAGACAGACAGACAGACAGACAGACAGACAGACAGACAGACAGACAGACAGACAGACAGACAGACAGACAGACAGACAGACAGACAGACAGACAGACAGACAGACAGACAGACAGACAGACAGACAGACAGACAGACAGACAGACAGACAGACAGACAGACAGACAGACAGACAGACAGACAGACAGACAGACAGACAGACAGACAGACAGACAGACAGACAGACAGACAGACAGACAGACAGACAGACAGACAGACAGACAGACAGACAGACAGACAGACAGACAGACAGACAGACAGACAGACAGACAGACAGACAGACAGACAGACAGACAGACAGACAGACAGACAGACAGACAGACAGACAGACAGACAGACAGACAGACAGACAGACAGACAGACAGACAGACAGACAGACAGACAGACAGACAGACAGACAGACAGACAGACAGACAGACAGACAGACAGACAGACAGACAGACAGACAGACAGACAGACAGACAGACAGACAGACAGACAGACAGACAGACAGACAGACAGACAGACAGACAGACAGACAGACAGACAGACAGACAGACAGACAGACAGACAGACAGACAGACAGACAGACAGACAGACAGACAGACAGACAGACAGACAGACAGACAGACAGACAGACAGACAGACAGACAGACAGACAGACAGACAGACAGACAGATATGAAAGGTATTGACTCGAAGATCAATCCTGTTTTAGATTTGCCTGATACACGTGTTTACTTATTTTCCGAATACGTGTAAAAAAAGTTTCAGGCAAATCAAAAATGTGACCCAATAAAATGTTTTCGGTTTGTAAAAGAACCGCCCATATATACTTTATAGGGTCGGAAATGCTTCCTTCTAGCTGTTACATACTTTTGCACGAATACAATATACCCTTTTACTCTACGAGTAACGGGTATAATTATATGTTTTTGGTTATGGATAATTTTTTCGAATATCTATTGAATTAAAAACTTTTGAGGGGTAAAAAATGTCCTACTTTAAAAAAAGAATATTTTGTTCAGCGACAAGATAGGCCGTTTTTAAATAAGTACCAAAGAAATCAGTAAGCAATACAGACCAAATACGGTTAGATTTGTGTATTGATAAACGTAAAAACTATAATAGATTTTGTTTTCCCGAAGATGTGCCCATTAAAACAATTGAACTTGTTAGTGGGTGAATCAACGAGTCTCACTTTAGTTTTATATTTAAAAGAGTATAGAATTCTATAAAATGTTAGCAGTTACTAATAGTTACAGGTTTTTGGACTCGCACACTTTTGAAGTCAAAAACACATCGTCCTAAAAACACAAGTCGGCTGTGTGCGCTAACAATTATTTTTCATATTTTACACTTTTGTGTTTGACACACATGTCAACAACTTTGCTCACACTGTAAAATACAATTTTTCATGTTTTTAACATGTGTGTCAAATTCCGAACCCTGCATGAGCGTGAATTCTCTCAGAATTTAGGGTAGAGGTAACGACAATTAGAACAGTGTTATTTATTCATCTTTATATATTTAATATTAGAAATTAAGCTTTGAAATCGATTAAGATTTAAGCGCCGGAAATGACCTCTCAACTGATATTTGTTATACTTACTTAAAATTTAGCCATTAAAACTAATTTTGTTGGTCATTAATGATCTCTGTATTTACATACGGAAGAATATGGTTCGATTTAGCGCATTTAAACAATTCGGTTTAGAATGCGGCGTGTAATCGATTTGACACTCGTATTTCTTAGGTAATCAAATAAACACACTTGAAATAATAAATTAACTGGCTATCTGTCATATCTAAACGATGGCCGGACTAAATTGGATAACTTTGCTGCAACTTGTAACTATTTTTGGTGGTCAGTAACAATACGTAATTTTTAGTGTGTTGCAATAGATAATTCGTAATTTTTTTCAATAAGCCTTTCCATTAGCCGAACTCAAAGTGACATCCGATTGGTTAAGGCAGCGATTCTTAAAAGCTTTTTCGAGTGCTGGATCTGTTGTTAAAGTCGGTTCAATGAGCTTGGAGAATCTTGGTGCAGCTATATCTAATATGAGTAACATACCAAAAGGCATGGCTCAAACTATCAACGATCTATTCGGCGCAGCTCAAACTGAAACTGATTCCGATCCATAGTGTTCCAAGGAAGGATCATGTATCAATGTGATGTGCTGATGTGCTGATGTGAGACAGGCAGACAGACAGACAGACAGACAGACAGACAGACAGACAGACAGACAGACAGACAGACAGACAGACAGACAGACAGACAGACAGACAGACAGACAGACAGACAGACAGACAGACAGACAGACAGACAGACAGACAGACAGACAGACAGACAGACAGACAGACAGACAGACAGACAGACAGACAGACAGACAGACAGACAGACAGACAGACAGACAGACAGACAGACAGACAGACAGACAGACAGACAGACAGACAGACAGACAGACAGACAGACAGACAGACAGACAGACAGACAGACAGACAGACAGACAGACAGACAGACAGACAGACAGACAGACAGACAGACAGACAGACAGACAGACAGACAGACAGACAGACAGACAGACAGACAGACAGACAGACAGACAGACAGACAGACAGACAGACAGACAGACAGACAGACAGACAGACAGACAGGCAGACAGACAGACAGACAGACAGACAGACAGACAGACAGACAGACAGACAGACAGACAGACAGACAGACAGACAGACAGACAGACAGACAGACAGACAGACAGACAGACAGACAGACAGACAGACAGACAGACAGACAGACAGACAGACAGACAGACAGACAGACAGACAGACAGACAGACAGACAGACAGACAGACAGACAGACAGACAGACAGACAGACAGACAGACAGACAGACAGACAGACAGACAGACAGACAGACAGACAGACAGACAGACAGACAGACAGACAGACAGACAGACAGACAGACAGACAGACAGACAGACAGACAGACAGACAGACAGACAGACAGACAGACAGACAGACAGACAGACAGACAGACAGACAGACAGACAGACAGACAGACAGACAGACAGACAGACAGACAGACAGACAGACAGACAGACAGACAGACAGACAGACAGACAGACAGACAGACAGACAGACAGACAGACAGACAGACAGACAGACAGACAGACAGACAGACAGACAGACAGACAGACAGACAGACAGACAGACAGACAGACAGACAGACAGACAGACAGACAGACAGACAGACAGACAGACAGACAGACAGACAGACAGACAGACAGACAGACAGACAGACAGACAGACAGACAGACAGACAGACAGACAGACAGACAGACAGACAGACAGACAGACAGACAGACAGACAGACAGACAGACAGACAGACAGACAGACAGACAGACAGACAGACAGACAGACAGACAGACAGACAGACAGACAGACAGACAGACAGACAGACAGACAGACAGACAGACAGACAGACAGACAGACAGACAGACAGACAGACAGACAGACAGACAGACAGACAGACAGACAGACAGACAGACAGACAGACAGACAGACAGACAGACAGACAGACAGACAGACAGACAGACAGACAGACAGACAGACAGACAGACAGACAGACAGACAGACAGACAGACAGACAGACAGACAGACAGACAGACAGACAGACAGACAGACAGACAGACAGACAGACAGACAGACAGACAGACAGACAGACAGACAGTAAAAGGCTATATGGCTATAAGGCTATGCATTCGTGCAAAAGTACGTAACCGCTAGAAGGAAGCGTTTCCGACCCCATAAAGTATATATATTCTTCATCAGGGTCATATATATGTATGTATATACAAAATACAAAACAAATACTATTTTAATAGTTACGTAACTATCTTTGTTGGTCAATTTTACCAAGCAAATTTTTTTGCGTGTACAAAAGGTAGAAGGTTAAGATTTTCCATACATATTCTTGGGCCTCCTACTCAACGCAAGTTTATTTCAGTCGAGCGCCATGCCCACCTAACGCCCACAAAGCCCACTAACGATTTTAAAATGGGTCCTGCGCCCACATCTTTAAAGATTTCCGAGAAGTATAAATACAATTTTTTTGTGTATATTTATACCTATGTAGAAGACATTTTTCAAATCGGACCATTCATTAAAAAGTTAAACGCAATCAAAATTTATGTATCAATCTCCCTCGCACTCCCTTTAGCTGAGGCTCGAATATTAGATAGTCGGGACACCAACCCGAGTACAGCGTTCGTACTCCCTTTAGCTGAGTGACGGGTATTAGATAGTCGGGACACCAACCCGACTATAGCGTTCTCTCTTGTTTTAAGTTTCAAACAGACACGTTTTCAGACACAATCAGAACAATTTTTTCCCTGAGTGTACTATTCCTTTTGAACCACAATACCCTCTACAATAAATGTTTTCCCTTAAGCTTAGGAATAATCAAAAGTAAAGTTCGTTAGTTAGATAAGCTTATTAGTTTTTACGTTTACAATTTTCCGATTTTTCCACAGAAATAATACCAAATATTTACTTAAGAGAATACCAAGGGTCCTCCTTGACCTGCGGAATATTGTATCGGATTTTTACGGGCGCAAGAATGTGCATAATCATGTGCTTGCACTCGCTGGATGCTGACGGGGATTTCGGAAACACCAGAGATTGGTTGATGCGCTTTAGAAGGATATGAACATTAGAACCATCATATGGAAGACGACCGAAGACCATCGCGTAACAGACGACGCCGCAGGCCCAGATGTCCGACATAAAAGGATCGTAGGCCACGCCTGGATAAATTATAATATTAATTCAGTACGCTTAAGATTAAAAACCTACCCTTCAAAATCTCTGGACTGGCGTAAGCGTAGCTGCCGCAGAATGTTTTTGAGAGAATAACCTGGTTATCGGGAGTTCGCGTATCTTTTCGTGCGAACCCGAAGTCGATTAGCTTCAGGTTCCAGTTCTCATCCAGCAGAAGATTTTCACACTTGATGTCCCGGTGCACCACTCCTTTGCTGTGGATGTACTCCACGGCACTCACAAGCTGCTTAAAAAGCGTACGCGATTGCGGCTCATCCAGGAACTTGCGCTCGCGTACGTAGTCTAGAAGGGTTCCATTCTCAGCCAGCTGCATAATAAGGTAAACCCTGCGGCATAGGTCGAATTAGGGATTTGAAATGAAACCGGACAACCAGTTGTATTGGTTAAAAGGTTCCAACCTATAAATGTATATTGCACAAAAAAAAAAACTTGGTAAAATTAACCAATATAATTGTCAAACAGTCCCCACCCACAAAAAATGGTCAATTCTTCTAATTAAATAGTTACTTTCACAACAACAAATACACACACCCAAAGCAAAAACCAAATACACGTAACTATTTTTTATAGTTACGTAACTATCCGTATAGGTCCATTTTACCAATCTAATTTTTTTGTGAGTACACTCGAGTTGCAAATATCACTAGTTTACACCCAAAATGCTCCATAGCAATTGATTGTAAATTCTGTTAGTTCTGGAGCCCTAGATCACGAAAATATCACTAATTTTGATGGCACAGTTTTTTTTAAAGATTTTTTAAAGCTTAATACGTTAAATTTCAAACTTTTTTCGAATTTTTTTCTATATCTCGGCAAATACCCACCCAATTGGACCAATTCTGGCTGTTATCACCACTAATTATACCCGTTACTCGTAGAGTAAAAGGTTATATTAAATTCGTGCAAAAGTATGTAACAGGTAGAAGGAAGCGTTTCCGACCCTATGAACTATATATATTCATGATCAGGATCACTAGCCGAGTCGATCTAGCCATGTCCGTCTGTCTGTCTGTCCGTATGAACGCTGAGATCTCGGAAACTATAAAAGCTAGAAAATTGACATTTTGCATGCAGATTCTAGGAGCTCCTACGCAGCGCAAGTTTGTTTCAAAAGGGTGCCACGCCCCTCTAACGCCCACAATCGCTTACATACGATTTTAAAAATTTCAATATTTTGGAAAAGTAAAAATGCAGTTTTATTGTGTTTATCAATACCTATCGAAATTTTTTAAATCGGACCATTCGTTTAAAAGTTACGGCGGATCAAAGTTTTTATCTCCATCTCCTTCGCACTCCCTTTAGCTGAGTAACGGGTACCTGATAGTCGGGGCACCCGAATATAGCGTTCTCTCTTGTTTTTGTTTACATGTCGCCGCCTTGGAAAAAACTTAAATTTGAACATTATCGACCGAAAAAGTTGAAAATTCGAACTTTAAAAATCTACACAAAATCCAATTTTCCATGGATTTGGGCAATACCCGGCTTGTTTCATTTGGTAGGATGTACACTTTAAGCTTTAATAGGTTATTATGATTTTTCAACGAATTTATTTAGAGTTTTTACAATACATACAGCCGACTTACAGTGGATCAAAAACACATTTTTAATATTTGTCGATCTGCTGCGCTGCCATGGCAAAGTTAAGCTCTGATCTATTGACTTTAAAATGAAACGAAAATTGGTCCAATTGGATTTATATGTGCCGAGATTTAGGAAGAAATATGAAAATATATTAATATCTATTAATATATTTAAAAAGTTTATGAAAACTAGGTATGAAAAAAAAGTCAAAAGTTAAACCTTTTTTGGACTTTTAGACGCTAGATCTCCATCATAAAAACAATTGGTCAAAGATCTGACTATTTCATTCTTTGATTTTTTTTTTAAACGTGGTCAGTGACTTAAGGGATTATATACCTTTTTGAGCGAAAAAAATTGAGGTAACTTTGGATTTTTTTTCAGGTGTGTAGCAATTATTTTATGAAACTGAAGTTATTATTTATTGATAGTACATTTTTTTTATACATTATTTTTATCGAAACAACAAGCCTTTGACCTTGAAAATATATGAATAATTTACAAAGTTATGGCAATTCTCTCGGAACCCTTTTTTTTATAGCGGCTTGCGGTGACCACGATTGCAAAAGAACTATTTGATCGATCTTCTTCATTTTTTTTTTTAATTATTCGTAATGATTGTGCCGAGTTCGTGAACGATTATTTTCAAGAATATTTGCTTTTTTCTGCATACAGTAACAATTTTTCCAAAAAGTTCATTTTTCGAGTACTAAAAATTTTATTAAAAATTTTTTTCTGCGAAATCAAAATTGACGCATAAAAACTGAATCGTTCACGAACTCAGTACAATCATTACGAATAATTAAAAAAAAAATGAAGAAGATCGATCAAATAGTTCTTGTGCAATCGTGGTCACCGCAAGCCGCTATAAAAAAAAGGGTTCCGAGAGAATTGCCGTAACTTTGTAAATTGTTCATATATTTTCAAGATCAAACGCTTGTTGTTTCGATAAAAACATGTACTATCAATAAATAATAACTTCAGTTTCATAAAATAATTGCTACACACATGAAAAAAATCCAAAGTTCCCTAAATTTTTTCGCTCAAAAAGGTATATAACCCCTTAACAGTAAACAAACAAATGGATCCCAGCGTTTATATATTTTGGCTGTAACCTAGTGTTATTTATTAATGCTATATGTAACTGTATCCCAAATCATTTTTAAGTGTTGGTGAACTTCTGAAGCACATATCGTGGAAGCATGTGACGATAGACATATGTAAATAAACTGTAATCCGTGCAATGTTAGCGGTTTCTTTGGTCAGTTTTAGCATTATGCTATATAAAAAAGTAACCTCGATGGCTTAAAAAATGATTCTACGTAAAAGTAAGCAACAACAAAAATAACATTATGTTGCATAAAAAAGTAACCTGGATGGATGTGATAAATTTGAATTCGCTTCGAAGTCGCAAATTGAACTGGGTTCACCAAATACGTTTCCCGATGCAAGGATTCTGAGAAAAATTAAAGGCAAACGAATTCGTGGTTTGTTGTGGTGTCAAAGCATTTTAATAGTGCCACTCTTTTTCTTTCGAACCCCATAAAACATAAAAACAAAAAGCTGCGGTCATAATAGTAGTAGTGGAGTAGTTGCTCACCTATGACTGGTCTCAATACTCTGATAGAAGGTTATTAAATTGTCGTGGTGCAAACCCTTCACCGCCTCGATCTCTCGAGGCAAAAACTTCTGCGTGTACTCGGAAGGAGCCTTAACCTTTGAGATGATTTTGACGGCAACCCGCTTTCCGTACTCCTCTGAGAAGCCAATCTTGACCTTGGCATAGTTGCCCGTGCCAATAACCTTGCCAAGAATAATGCCGTGCTCCTCAAGAATGGTCTTTTGCGGCTTGGTTTTTTCGTCGGCTTTTGGCGGGACTGCTGGTTGTCCCGCTGGCTTCGGGGAGGGCCGGTCACTGAAAGTGTAGACCTTCTGTTCCTGACGACGACCCGAGTTCTGATCGGTGACGAGGTCCTGCGATGAGCTTGCACCAATGACTACCGGAAAATATATGTAATTTTAGTTGGCCTGCTGCTGACTGTGCACTAAATCTCTAATCACCTCCGCCTTGGTCGTTTTTTCTTTTTGGCGCTGTCGCCATTAAAATGATATCAACAAACTAGTGTTCGGTGTTCAAATGCTGCAGAAATGTCGTGTCCAATTAACTTAATCGTTAAAAGTGGATCATATTCAGAAACGAAAAATTTTGAGACCAATTTTTAAAAAGTTGTGACTTTTAATGAAAATGTATATTAATATCTGAGAAGGTTTTTCTCTGTTTCACATAATTTCCAACCAAGAACGGGTAGCTTTGTGTACTGATGTTAGTAAGCACCGTAGCGGAATTTGTCACACACACGAATAACACAGGAACACAAAACTTAACTTTGTGAAATTTCCACGAGCCATTTCTAGTTTTCCATGATAAGTACTTGTCCCATACAAACTTATGTCCCATCACCTACAGGTTCCGTGTTATAGCTAAGAATAACCGATGTTTGCCGACATTTCGAGTTATGTGGCCTATATAATTTGACTTATCTTAATAATTTACTCTCTACTCTACTTTACTCTCAATTCATCACTGCATTCCTAAACAAGAGAGAACGCTATAGTCGGGTGCCCTGACTATCAGATACCCGTTACTCAGCTAAAGGGAGTGCGAAGGAGATGGAGATAAAAACTTTGATTCGCCGTAACTTTTTAACGAATGGTCCGATTTAAAAAATTTCGATAGGTATTGATAAACACCACAAAACTGCATTTTTACTTTTCCGAAATATTGAAATTTTTAAAATCGTATATAAGCGATTGTGAGCGTTCGAGGGGGCGTGGCACCCTTTTGAAAGAAACGTGCGCTGCGTAGAAACTCATAGAATCTGCATGCAAAATGTCAATCTTCTAGCTTTTATAGTTTCCGAGATCTCAGCTTTCATACGGACGGACAGACGGACATGGCTATATCGACTCTGCTAGTGAGCCTGATCAAGAATATATATATACTTTATAGGGTCGGAAATGCTTCCTTCTAGCTGTTACATACTTTTGCACGAATACAATATAGCCTTTTACTCTACGAGTAACGGGTATAAAAATAGTCCCCATTGTAAATTCGACGCTAAAGTTGAAAATCCCAAAATGTTCACGATTTCTTTTAATGAAAACTCAATTCTTAGAATTAAATCTTAAATGGAACTAATTTTAATTATTCATTGAATCTATTGCTCATTGTATGCCTTAATTTTGTTTTAAAGCGTTTTCATGAGGATATTTTATTGTTCTTATACTAATAAAACCGAAAAGGGTATATTGTATTCGTGTATGCAACAGGGAGAAGGAAGCGTTTTCGACCCTATAAAGTATATATATTCTTGATCAGGGTCACTTGCCGAGTCGATATAGCCATGTCCGTCTATGTCCTTGTCCGTCCGTATAAACGCTGAGATCTCGGAAACTACAAAAGCTTGAAGGTTGAGATTTTCCACACATATTCTTGGGCTTCCTACGCAGCGCAAGTTTATTTTAGCCGAGCGCCACGCCCCCTCTAACGCCCACAATCGCCCACTAACGATTTTAAAATGTGTCTGACGCCCATACCTTTAAAGATTTCCGAGAAGTATAAATGAAATTTTGTTGTGTATATTTATACCTATCATTCATTTAAAAATTATGCGCAATCAAAACTGTATATATCCATCTCCCTCGCACTCCCATTAGCTGAGTGACGGGTATTGGATAGTCGGGACACCCACCCGACTATAGCGTTCTTGTTTTCGACTCCGTTTTCTAAAATTTATTTCTCCATTAAAAAAAATTCTAAAATTATTTTAAATATGGGGTTTGAAAGATAAAGAGTGTATCTTTTAAAAAACTTTAACATCAAAACAAACCATGAATCCATTTGCCTCTGAGAGCTCCGGAAAGTTGGCCAATTTCAGCATTTTTCGAACTTTGAGGTCCTTGTGCTAAGAATACTCGCGCCGGGGAACTTTTCGGAAAACGCAGTTCAACTTGCGAATTCGTAACGAATTCAAAAATATAGCATCCGTCGATGTAAATATTAGATGTTGCAGTGTAATTTTTCACGAGGGCACAGAAATCTCTTCCAACCAATTTTCCCCCAAAAAACCAGTTTTGGTGTAACAGAAACCGTTTGAAAATCAAGTACACGATTTTAAACAAACTGAATGGTAGGCGTTGAAGCAAATGTTTCTAAAATCAGATTTACTCCGAAACTCCCAGAAAACGTTACAGATTATGTGTGGGAAATCCCAACCTTCTATCTTTTGTAGTTTCCGAGATCTCAGCGTTCGTACAGACAGACAGACAGATGAAAATTCCAGGGACCGTAAATAATCATTATTTGAGATTTTTATTTTAAAAAGACTACTGTGATATTTTGATTTGAACGTCAAAAACAACGTTCTTTTTACTCTTGTCCACAAAGTATATGCATTTCAACAAATCTGGAAAGCAAATTAACTGTTATTTGTTCATGTCTATAAAGTGCATAAAAACCAGTTAAATTGTTGATTAAAACTTGTAAAAACCTCAGTAAGCCTTTTAAAATAAAAATCTCAAATAATGATTATTTACGGTCCTTGGAAAATTCAGCTTTCACCCTTCTCAAACAGTCGAAATTTCCCCCTAAAAAATTCAGTTTTCCCCCTAAATTCCAAAAATCAGTAACATGTACAATAAATTAGAAATATGTCAATACGACGTTGTAGAAATGTTAAGATTGTAAAAATCTGTGTACTCGAAAGGAAAGTCGTGTGTAGTATTATTTTGTTGACAGTTTTGAAATGTTTTAGGAAGTCACAATGTTTTAGTGTTTTTTCTACACATTTGGGTAATAAAAATTCCGAAAAAAACCTTAAATTTTCCCCCTAAAAATTTCTCCCCCCTAAAATACCCCTTAGCACGTCGAAAAACCCCTAAATCTAGGGGGAAAACCCCTGATATGGGATCACTGCTAGTAATCCTGATCAAGAATATATATACTTTATGGGGTCGAAACGCTTTCTTCTACCTGTTACATACTCTTGCACAAATACAATATACCCTTTTACTTTATGAGTAATGGGTATAACAATGTGGGTTTCACCACAAAAAGTGTTCATTCAGCATATAGTGCAAAATTTTTTGTATCATTAGGAAAGGTGTTAAAGAGTCCCACTGCAAGGCCTAGATCAGTGTGAAAAATCGTTGGGGCGAAAACAAATGGTTCTGGTGTTGGCTTTTATTTTACACCTTTATTAACTTAGAGATTAAAATTCAGCGATCTAAGAGCCGTCGCTATATAAGTGATTGCAGGTAGCACTCCAGAGAATCCAACTCCGTTTGCCCCGCTCACAGCTTTCTTTTGAATCTGGTAGAAAATGACAGAAATGCTTAGGGGAAGGACGACTTCCGTCTCGCTTATGTCAAACGTAAGGTCATGCCGCTGTCCCAAAACCATCCGAGTATTCTGCAGGACCCGCTGATGAGGAGCTCTTCCTTCTACCAAAGAAAGGTCTGCCACATGAAACTCGTAGCCAACGCTAAGGAAAATGTTCTGACAGCTCAGGCTCCGCTTAACTTTATTGTAAACTGATTGGACCGGCGGTGGCATCTCATGGGTGTTCTCCAGGTAGTGCACGTGCATGGGCATCCACTTGTCCGGCTTTGGTCTGCCCAATCGGGAAACGAACACCTTTCCGACGTCGTCCAGGTGACTGCAACCGTGGGGCAACAGCTGGCTCCATATCTGGGCTTGCAGGCCCTGACAGAATTCAGAGTGGTTGGCGTGTTCTTGGAGCAGGGGCGCTACTTGGTGCAGCTCACATCGGGTGAGGAGGTCGACGCCAAAGCGGAGGACTTGATTTTGGTCCAATTTGCGATGGCAACTCCTTTCTCGAAGATTCCGCGACGGCAGGGAAAGCCATTGAAACTCTTCAGTATTATTGTTGGTATTAAAATAGCTTAAAGGCCTCTTATCCTCGCTGTTGTTTTGCGGCAACATTCTTGAGAAGATTACGGGCGAACCCAGCAGGTAACCGAGTGGGCCTGAAGTGGGCTCGACCAGCGAATCGTTTAGAGCGATAAATTCCACATTGTACTGAAGCCAAAGTGGGTCGTTATCATCCTCAGCCAGTTTGATCTTCTCTAGTAGGAGCTTTGCCTCCAGAATATGTGTAAAATTGTGAATCAATATAAGTTCAACTTTATCCACCATTACATCCAGTTGAGTGTCGTTTGCCCGCTCTAAGCATTGTAATGACTTATCCTCTCCTCTCTGACAGATGTGAACGATCAGTCCTTTTACTTCATGTTCCTCATGATCGAGCGGCTTTGGCAGCAACTGAAAAGTGGAAGTGAGATTGAATATTCCCCAGAGACTATCTTGCAGTTGGGAAAAGTCCTTCATCTTGCAAATGCTTTTGATTGGTTGCAGGTGTGAAATGGACTGTTGCAGCTGACAATTAGGGCTTTCGTAGGCAGCGGGCAGATCGAAAGTAGCCAATTGTCTGGTCTTGGGCTGCCACAGTTGCAGAGGCTGTCCGAACTTGTAGTGTGATAACGATGGTCGAGACTGTGGTGAGTCCGATTCGTAAGCTCCCAAGTAATCGAGCCATTTATAACGCTGCGAAGAATCGAAATTACTGTTCTGGGGCTGAGTCTTGTATGGATTCGTGTTGCTGCGAAAAACGCACAACCACCCGTCGTTGATCTGACATGTAGGCAAGCCATGAGCATAGTGGAAATCTTCCAACCGTGATTGTAACTGCGGAAATGTAGAACTAGGCAGACAATTAAATACCTGATGGGCTTCGGGAGGGCAATCTTTGTCACAGCAGCAGTTAAGATCGCATTTGTCAGAGTGAAGATCGCAGGAGCAGTAGTAAGACATATGGTCCATTGATACTGGCATCGAGTGAGGCGCTTCGGTGGCGTTCAACGGTTGGGCATCCACCTGGGAATCCGCCGACGTGGTTGGAGTTGCATCTGTGGCCTTCTGCTTCTGTTGCCAGCGCGGGGGAAATGTGTTTCCAGAAGCGTTGGTAAACTCTGGCAACGGGCTGATGAAGCTGCCCGCTTCACTGCTGGCAGAAGCGGTAGTGGCTGGTGATTCCGTGGTAGTGGGAGGGGTTCCTAGTTCTGTGTTATTGTAGTTGTGAGAAATTCCAATTTTAACTGAATTTGTGTGGCATGTGGCGCACCACAACATGGTTAGAAACAGCAACGCTTCCATTGCTACTTGAACTCCACACCGTATTCGTCGAACTTCCGAAAAATTAAGTTTAGTTCAACAATAACCTTTCCAGAACTCAGGGTTTGCAGCTTGTAACTAGACGGAAAAGTAGATAATCAGTAATAATAATTTATAGCAAAAGAAACATTTTACTGCCTGTTAAAAAATAAAACGATTTTTTTTTTAATTTTATTTCTTGTAGAATAACATATTAAGATTATACAAAAAAAGTTTTAAGGCAATCGGACAAAAACTTTAGAAGTATAAAACTTTAATATAGTAATATAGAGAATTTAAAATTGACAAATATTTCACGGCTACTATGATATTTTTCTCAAAAGTAAAACGAATAACCACTATTTTTCTCTTGCAAATGCGGAGGGTCAAACGTGGTTATGGCATATAGTTCCTCGGGCAACATGGCTTAGAAATGCCCAGAAATTGTTTTCCGCCCAATCGATTTTTACTTTTTTAGGTCCATTTCAGTGTAGAAATTTTAGGGCTACTGTGATATTTTTCATCAAATACTGTTTTTTTTTACAAATGCGAAGGGTTAAACGTGCTTTTTAAGATTTTGTTTCTTTTGCAATATTGCTTAAAATTCTTCCTAGATTGCGTTCCCCCTTACGATTTATCACTTTTTTTTGCCCATACAAGTCGACCCAGTCTAGTATGCACATGCTTCAACGAATATGATTACCCTTTTTCTCCATGAGTAGCAGGTATTTTCTCCGACTTTATATTAAATATTTTTCGTACGATTGCACAGTTTACCAATTAAATAGGTAAATAGATAAAGATAATAAATCGCTGTTAAAACAAAGGCCTTACCGCTCAACTCCCGAGTAGAGAAGGTCCGACTTGCTCAGAGCGGCTCCTCCGCCACCGAACCGCTCTCGTAACGACTGCCACAGGCTGTTGGGGGCGACTTTCCAGGTGCTAATCTCCAGGCGATGAGTACCGGGAAATGATGGGATATGTGCGAACCCGTAGCCGACTGGCCAGGACTGTTGCAATACGTTTACAGCGTACACCTCCACCAGCAGTCGTGGCCAGCCCTGGACGGAGACGGCACTCAGGTGGATATCTAGAGGCTGGGCAAAGTCCGAGCAGTTCTGCAGCCTGTGGGACGCCACGTGACTTTGACCCTGCACTTCGCCCTGGACCAGGCGCCAGGAGTTTCCTTTCGAGAGTAACAGGCTTATTAACTTAACGCGGCAGGTGCACTCGCTAACTCACCGCTCTGTAGAGTCCACTTGCAATATAGGTGCGGTTCAGAAAAGTCAATTGCTTTCAATATTTGTCCAATTATGTGCACCTCCGCCATCAATTTATTTATTTTCTTTTTAATTCTAATTATTAGTTAGTTTTTATCCTATCATTTTTACTTGAGTGGCAACCAGCTTTCAGTTTTTAGTTTATTATGTTGGCAGTTAAGCGTTGTCAAAGTAACCGAATAACAGGGTGGGTGCTGCCAACTTAGGCGGAAAGGCAAAGGATCTGGTTCTAATCGTTCAGAGGAAGAACAAGAAATGAAAAAAAGACTGAAGCTAACTTCGGCAAGCCGAATTTTAAATACCTTTGCAGATTTCACGAATTAAAATTTGACTACAATAGCAACATAAACTAATAAACAAAATATTTCATAATTCAAAAAAAAACATTTTAAAATTGTTCGCCCTATTGTTCCTATGGGGGCTATAGGATATAGACGTCCGATCGGAACGCGCTTTTACCCTGATTATGGTATGCACAAAAAAATACGATTTCGAAAGATTCATCTCATTAGCTTTTATACTGCGCAAAATATCTTGAAAAACATCCAATTTTTACCGAATTTACCCTATTATTCCTATGGGAGCTATAGGATATAGACGTCCGATCGGCACGCGCTAGAAGGAAGCGTTTCCGACCCCATAAAGTATATATATTCTTGATCAGGGTCAGTAGCCGAGTCGATCTAGCCATGTTCGTCTGTCCGTCTGTCTGTCTGTCTGTCCGTCTGTATGAACGCTGAGATCTCGAAAACTACAAAAGCTAGAAGGCTGAGATTTCCCACACATATTCTTGGGCTCCCTACGCAGCGCAAGTTTATTTTGGCCGAGCAACCCTTCTAACGCCCACAATCGCCCACTAACGATTTTAAAATGTGTCTGGCACCCACACCTTTAAAGATTTCCGAGAAGTATAAATCAAATAAAAACACCTCTTAACGAGGTAAAAAACTAGTGACGACCGCACCTTCAACATACAAAAGTTCTGATATCAACATTTGTGACGAAAAATTATTACACTCGTCATTAAATAGACTTTCTAATCTTTTCTCATTCGGCCCGCTGCAATAGAAAATGCCTGTAAAGGGAAAAAGGCTGGAATAGTTTGCTAGGGCGACTAAATCATAAAATCATTTTTCGTCACAAAAGTTGATATCAGAACTTTCGTACGTTGAAGGTGCGATCGTCACTAGTTTTTTACCTCGTTAAGAGGTGTTTTTATTTGATATCAGAAGTTTTTGTTTGTTTACATTTGCTCTCATAGGAGCTAATATATACATTTAAATTTAAATTGGTCAATCATAATTTTTAAACTATTGTATTTTAACAAATTAAGTTAAAAAGGCGTTGAAGTATTTCAAAATACCTTTTAAACGAGGTATAGCACATGGCTGTACCTTTAGTAGTGTAGAACTTACAAACTAACGAAATTTAGCTATTTTTAGCTTTTTCCCGCTAAAGTAGCGGCTTTTTCCAAAAGTCGTAGAACAAAAGATTCCTATATGGAACTCTTAAGTGCAAATTTACTGATTCCATGACCCTAAAATACAGTTCGGATACCCTCCCACAAAATTCAATACTCAGGGAGCGTTAGTTGTTCTGAGCTGGCAAAAGTGGCTATTTTCGTTTCTGAATAACTTTTAAACGCGATTTTTTACATAAACATGATATATACCAAAATTTAAGGAATCTCAAGGGCTATACAGTTTAAAGTTGTAAGGAAAATCGTTAGAGCCGTTTTTGAGAAAATTAAAAAACATAAAAAAAAGTTTTAACAAATTTTCTTTTGTTCATATCTTTTTAACTATTACATTTACACAAATTGCATATAGAAGGCGTTTATAGCATTTAAAAATACCATTCAAACGAGATGCAGCACAAGTCTGTAGCTTTAGTAGTATAGAAGTTACGGCTTTCCGAATTTTAGCTATTTATAGCTATTTTTCCGCTAAACTAGCGGGTTTTTCCAAAAGTGGTAGAACAAAAGTTTTTTATATCGATGTGATGAACGTCATATCAAATTTTCAGAACTTAAAAAACATATTTTGGACAAGTGGACAAACTGACAAACAGAATTAAATTTTCATTTTGGGAAGAAGAAGAAAATCTTATTTTGACTATAACTTTTGAACGGAGAGTCGGATTTTGACAAATGACCCTTCATTCGACGGGTATTTTCAAAAGGAATACAACTAAAATATTGCGAGGAGGCATTTATCCCCATCGACCCCAACAGCTCCAAATTTCGAAATTTTCACTTTTTCACTTTCACCGCTCTCTCTCCCAAGCCAATTGATTTTCTTAAAGTCTTGGTATGCAATCCTGTTAGTTTTCGCAATACCTTTCGATAGGTGTATTATTCATTATGATCGGACCATCACAGTAGATTTTCATTTCTTCGTGTATATATAGTAGTCGCCTTCGCACACTCTCCTGGTGCGCTTCGTCACTACATGGACTGCCGTCCATAGTGATACAATTTTATTGAGTGTGTACCTTTCGAAATGTAGGAGACATTTTTCAAATCGGACCATTCATTAAAAAGTTATGCGAAATCAAAAAAACTCCCTCACACTCCCTTTAGCTGAGTGACGGGTATTAGATAGTCGGGACACCAACCCGACTTTAGCGTTCTGTCTTGTTTTTTTTTTCCATCAAAGTTGAAAAATATGGAAAAAGTGGACGTTTGGCTCAGGATGCGGCTGGCAAACTGCAATATGTTTTACTTGTTTTACTCTTAACTAACACACCAATCAGTGGAAAAAAGAAGCAAAGCGATTTGATACCTAGCTTTTAAAATATATCACTGTGCGAAGCTTCTAGAAGTGCCGCCGTAGTGGAACATTTCTTCCCGACCGGGGTGACTTCGGCGATCTGAATGCGATATAGTGAAAGTCACTTATAGAAGTGTCGCCCAAGTCACTTCTGGAAGTTACTTTTTGCTTTCGCGTTTTTTTTTAAATTTTTTTCTTGATTAACATCTTAAAATTATAAAAAAAAAGTTTTAAGTCAATCGGACAAAAACTTTAGAAGTTATGCTAAAAATAGTACTTTGAAGGGCCGTTTTCTCGTCCGTCCTACGAAGTAAAATTTAGCTAATGGAAGGATAAATTTATCCCGGTGGCAAATCGGTTTTCGTTTTCTCGTCCGTCATTTAAAACTCCAAGTAAAAACCAAATGGTTTTTGATTATATGGAATTAGTTAAATCAAATGAATGCACTTACTTCTTTACTTTAGATTCAAGTCGCTAAACAATTTTTTGCGAACCCTAATTCTTCATTACTGTAATGTTCGAAGTAAATTCTTTGGTCTTAATATCTGCGCCGATCCGGTTCGCACTTCAGACAAATCGCTTCGGAATTCATTTTAAAATAAATTGGATGACTTTAGCAATTTTTATTTATATTTAACTTTAAATAGAATCACATGTTTTCGAATGAAGAGAGGAACCAGATTGACAACGCTCAAATGTCTGGCAACACTTGCGCACAATCCAACCGCACAAATTTGGCACGGTGGATGAAGTACCGAGACAAAATTTGCCGCTACCTGCGCTAACATAAGGACGAGCAAACCATTTTTTGTTTATCGCTCCGTTGTCCCGGCAGGCAAACTAAAGTACGGACGAGCAAACGGCCCTAAGTGCGTTTTTCTCGAAACCACGTTTTGAAAGTCCGTGGTTATCGGCATTTCTAAACGGCTCAACCGATCGTTTTCAAATTTTTCGCATATTTTTCTGCATAAAAACCCGCACCCTGGGAAGCTTTTTTTTAATTTTTTAACTTTAAGTATTTTTTTTAAGCTCAAAGACGAATTTTTTAGGTGAAAAACGCATTTTTAAATTTGGAAAAGCAAAAAAGTTGTTTTTAAAAAAAAAAATTAAAAATCGCGTTTCCCAGGGGGCGGGTTTTTTCTTTTGTTAAGCAAAATGTAAAAGCAGAATGGAAATCCGATAATTTTTAGAGGAGATACAGTGGTCATTGCAAAACGCATTTTTTTAATAGTGTTCCAGCAATCGCTTTGCCACCGATATATTAGCTGATAGTATTGGCTATAAAAATTATTCAAATGACACTTTATAATATACAATTGGTTTGAATTAAATCCATCCAACCAGTTTTTATAGAAAAAATCGCAAAGTTACTTGAATTCTTGATGCCAAAGACCCAGACCAAATAATTGTTTGCATTTTGCAAACAATTAATTGACAGCCGAATATTTGCAGTTTTTTAGTTTTTCTTGTTTTTAGGGTGTTTTAGGGTGAAAAAAGAAAATGTGTTGATGCAATCGGAGAGATAATAGTTAAAAAAAAAATTCCAAAAAAAAAAATTAAAAAAAATCTAGTATTTGCTTGTACATTTCCCATCTAAAAACGAATTTCTATGCCATTTTCCCTTTTGCAAACAATTACTTGACAAACTGTATGCATACTCGTTATAAAAGCTCAGATATGTTTAAAACTATTATCTTATGCTATTTATTGTATTATTTTACAGTTTTGCAGAATTGAAATCCCCCTACGTCTATGTTGAGTTGAGCAACTGCTCTTCAAGTCAGCTGTTATTGGATGTGGATGTGGATTATCAAAAATCCCAACCTTTTCACATGGATGGACTCTATGGGAAGAGACTATAATATAAAAAGAACCACAAACTTATTATAGTAATTTTTATATCGGTTGTCGATAATGATATCGATGGCACACGATGATTTTGTGATGGTACGACCAAAACACGAGGACGGCAATAAATTTTTAAGAAGACGAAATTAAAATAATAAAATCTATATAAAATTATAAGGTAATCAAAAAAGTTGGATAGAGCATTTCAGTTGTCATAGCTAAAAGCATTGGTAAATAAACAAAAAAAAATTCAAATTAAATAATCGAAATAATAATGATAAAAAGGGCATTTCTAATGTCGCATGCAAAAATCACCGCAATTCTTGTTGAAAAAAATTTTGCATGCGGCGCTGAGAAAATTTACATATTCCATTTTTAGGTCTTCAAGCTCTTAATGCATTGTGATTCAGGGTATTCCCTAAACTGTTGAATTGCTGAATTGTTTAATTTTGGTCAGCTGTTAATCAGCTGTTCCATACAAAGTCAACTTTCAGAATTTCAGCAAAGTTTGTTAAATAATTGAAAACCAGAGTTGTCACCTTTTTTATTAAATGTCATGGCAACTCTGTAACATTTTAGTATCAACAGTACGCATTATTTATTTTAAAATCAACTTAGAAAGCATATTTTTGGTTCCTTTTACCTTGGTAACAATTTTGGACAGTAACTAGCAATAATAAATCTAATTTTACATGTTTGCTGTTTGAAAATTCAACAGGAACTATTTTGGGTCGTTCCCTTAATTGCTGAAATTTTCTTTTGAATTTTCCACGTTTCAGCAATTCAACAGTTTAGGGAATACCGAGATTGTATATTTCGCTAAATGGGAAAAAGAAAAATAAACGCGATACGTCGAATAAAAAAGCAAAATTGGTCCACACTAGAATAGAAGGTAGAATGCTGTTATCGACTAATCGAAAACTATTTGACGCCATTTTATGGCGGGATATTGCAGTATTATTAAATCTTCACCACCTATTTAAAATACTTATTTCACATATTTTCAAAAACCTTTATGTTTACGAAGAAAATGATTAATACACAAAAGATCCGATCTATACATACCTTCTGCTTTTGTCTAATTTTTTTTTGATTTTCCTTATATATTCCGGAAAAACAGCAAAAAAAAAATGAAAATTTTACGATTTTTACCGTTATTTTTCAAGATCCCGTTATTTGCGCTAACTTTGACTACTTTTACCGCAATCAGGAACCCAAAAACACGTGGATATAGAAAGTTTGAACAAAATTGGGCGTATAATATAAACGGAAGTTTATCCCACATTTGCTTTTGCTTACAAATTTGCCATATTAATGTTGGCTATACTGAGGCGTAGTAAGAGGGTGGGGTTGGGCTCACCCCCCAGTCATCAATATGCATGCAGACATGTTACACATTATATCAAGCTATTTATTGTATTATTCTAAAATAAGATTAGGAGAACGAAATTTAACGAAATTTTTGCTTAATTAAATTCCCCTTCCTCTGTGTTGAAATGGGCAACTGCTCTTCAAATCAGGTGTTATCGGATTTGGGTGGTGCTCTGTGGGAACACAGTTTCACATTTGTCAAAAAGCCCAACCGATTCACACGGATGGACTCTGTGGGAAAAGGCTATTATTGTGCTAAACGCGATGACTACAAACCACTGCAAAACATCGATCTCAACGAATAATCGGATAATTTCGCCAAAAAAACATCGATACTTAATGCACCAATGTTTGCTTACATCACTAGCTGATTAATTAAGTGAATCATAACATTACAAATTACCAAAAAGCGAACAGATAGCAAAGACCGACACCCAGACACCATGGCTGCCACTCTGAAGCCCTACCTGACCGCCGTTCGCCATTCGCTGACTGCGGCGATGTGTCTACAGGATTTCCCTTCGCAGGTGGTGGAGCGGCACAACAAGCCGGAGGTGGAGATCTGCTCCAGCAAGGAGCTGGTCCTTACGCCCGTGGTGGTATCGCGAAATGAGCGGGAGAAGGTCCTGATCGAGCCCTCGATCAACTCGGTGCGCGTCAGCATCGCCGTGAAGCAGGCGGACGAGATAGAACGCATTCTGTGCCACAAGTTCACCAGGTTCATGATGCGCCGCGCAGAGTCCTTTGTTATTCTGCGCCGCAAGCCCATTGAAGGCTATGACATCAGTTTCCTGATCACCAACTTCCACACGGAACAAATGTACAAGCACAAGCTGGTGGACTTCGTCATTAGCTTCATGGAGGAGATCGACAAGGAGATAAGCGAGATGAAGCTAGCAGTCAATGCCAGGGCCCGCACCTGCGCTGAGGAGTTTCTTAAACGCTTCTAGGTGAGTGCTCCCTTTTGTGGCTTGATTCTAGAGGCACAGAATCTGATTCAATCCTTTGCAGGTGAACGCAGACCAGTCTCGACCCGACCCCGATGTTTTAGTATTTCCGAATGAATTCAAGAATAAAAACGGCATTTGTATTATTTACTCCTCGGCTCATTTCGATTCACTTTGGCCGCACCACCAAATGACCACTGCGTTTTCATAGACTACTTCTAGCTGCTGGTTCGCGTCGGGAGGCGCTTCCTCCACAATAGATTCGGATATGCTTAATGTGCGGTTCTCCTTATGGGCACATTGGTCTATGAAGTGATACTGGCCAGAGGTAGTCGCCAGAACCGGCAGAACTGGGTTGATGCCCACTCCATTGCAGCAGTCAGAGTGCAGTTGCAGTACGGAGGCCTCTCCGTATTCGCGGAGATCCCAAATATTTAGGGCTCCCCGCGTGTCGCCGCTGGTCAGCCAACGACAGTCGGATGTAAAGTCAAAATGAATTCGCTGGTTGGTGTCCACATGGCGCTGAAACTCGACCAGGGGCTTCTTGTAGTTGCGCATGTCCCACTGCAAAAGCTTGCCACACTTGCGAGCCCCGCTGAACAAATGCCAGTCCCCGAATCCGTTTCCGCCGTAACGCAGTTGTGTTATTCCGCCCTTGTGCCCGCCCAGCGTAAAAAGAGGACCCTGCTTGGGGCTGCAGCGCAGGTCAAAGTGTTGGATGTAGCCTTGCCAGTTGCCGCAGGTCAGAGTGTTAGGGTGCGTGCTTGTCTGGGCAATGCAGGATATGGCAAACTTAACAGGGTAATCATCGCACAGTCGTCCGGGCCTGTTGATTAATAAAAGACTAATCGGGGAACGGAATAATTGATATGGTTTACCTGCTGGTGTCGAAGATCTTTATACATCTCTTAAATCCCGCATAGATCTTCTGGCCGTCGTGGGAAAAGGCCAAAGAGATGGCCGCCATGACTTCGTCTACAGCATCATATCCGCTGTAGGAGCAACGCAGCTTTCCGTCGAAAGCGTCCCACATGTGAATAGGCTCGTGCTGCCGCGTGGCCAACCAACTGAAGGAGATCGATCTGGTGAGAGACCGGAAAAGATGCCAGCGAGCTGTCTACTCACAAGCAGGTATCCGGCTGCTGGCTGTTCATGTGTGGAAACCAGACGCAGTCGTAAACGGTTCCGCCCTCAGGCACGTGCACCGCCGATTGAAGCTTGGTCAAAGAACGCGTCCTCTGCACGGTTGACGTGGAGTATAGATCGGTGGGCAGCTCTATGACGTGCATGCCGTCAATATGGACGGGTATCAAAAGACAGGTACCGTCCGGGGACCAATAGCAGCCCTTGGTGTAGTGCTGGGCCTCTGCCGACGAGGTCCAGCAGCGGCGTCCCAGTTCAACGAGTCTGCCTTGGAAATACTGGAGGGGAGCCGAATCCGCAAGCCCTGTCACAACTTTGTTATCGTTCGACGTCAGCTCTAAAGTGTCCTCTATGTTGATTACTCCTACGGTCTGCACTTCCTCATCCTCCTGCGAGACCACGGTTTCCAGGCTCGTCTCCATAAACACAGATGTATTCAGAGGAGCAGCCTCGTCAAGTGGATGTCTGCTACGCAGTTTCAGTATCTCCGCCTCTGAGAGAGACACGCTGAGTTTGGGCATCGAAAGTTCCCCTGTGGACGTAGCCATTGAGTTGCTGAAGCTCACATTATGATTTAGCAAAGACGCTTCCACGTCGCACATGCTTGTGCTCAAGTTGATAGCTGAAACGGTTTTATCTTTAAATATTTGTTTTTTATGTTTAAAATTGCACTGACAATCGTCCATCTCGCTCATTTTACCGCTCAATCATAGAGGGACCGTGCGTGAAAACACCTTATGATATAATTTGAGTGATACCATTTTCCGAATAGCCTCTTCCCACAGAGATACATCCACCATCCGTTCAACGGACTGCAAAGACACTTAAGGGGGATTCCCTAAACTGTTGAATTGCTGAATTGTTGAATTTTGGTCAGCTGTTAATCAGCTGTTCCATACAAGGTCAACTTTCAGAAATTTCAGCAATTCAACAGCCTCGGGGCTGTTGAAAATTTTGTTGAATTGCTGAAAAGCCAGAGTTGTCACCTTTTTTTTAAAGTCGTGGCAACTCTGTAACATTTTAGTATCACCAGTACGCGTTATTTATTTTAAAATCAACTTAGAAAGCACACTTCCTTTTCAACTCCAAGCGAGACCGATTGTGTTTTGCAAATTGGACAGTGAAAAGTCTACTTCTATTCTTTTCCTTGCTAGCGAAAAGGCTAAACAAAAAAGTGATTAATTGACTAGTTTTAGAAGTGTGCGAGACCGTGTCTCCTTTCTTTTTTGTGAAAAGGACCTTTCCTTAAATAATTATTCTGGTGAGTTGTTAGTTTTTGGCAGGCTGGTAAAACCAGCAAGTAAAATGGCGGAGGCCTTCCAGCCGGCAGCCGCGAAATTGAAACCTCCTGATGGAGATCTAAATAACGGTAGAGTTAGCAAAAGAAATTGTGATAAGGTAAAGCTATCCAGCTTGAACAAGGAGGGCCTGCTTCATTAATATTCAGAAGTTGAACTTTCTAACAAGTGCGAATTGAAAGTGCGAAATTTTGGAAAATGTTTTTTCGCCGGCTAAGATAAATTTTGTTGAACGTTTGGTCAGGCGCGAGAAAGCTATTATTGACAATGTTGGCCGCTTTCTCGGCCAGATGAATTGCAGCCTTTTGGAGCTCCGGTAGTCCAGATGATTTGCAGTCGTATGCCTGCTGGTAGGCTTAGTTCTCGATGAAATAAAAAACACTTGTTAAGTTGGGCTTGGTTGCTGTAGAGCTGCAAAATAATCGATGGAACCATCGATAGTATCGATGGTTGGCCTCCGGTGACCGACATCGATATTTTTCAGACTATCACGATAGTTTAAAAAACCATAAATTCGGTGGAATTCTTTATAATTGTTCAGCCATTTTTAATTTTTATGAAACAACATTTTTTTTCAGATTGCGCGCGCACTGTTTTTTACTTTTACGTCATTGAAATTTATCACAAGCGTTCAGCAGACAAAATTGATCACTGATTACTGATCCATATGTATGGATACGTATTAAAAAGATCTTACTTTAAATTAATCTAATTGCGTTTTGAATTTTCAACAATTAAAATTTTTAATTTTTTAAAGGATTCCCAATGTTTATGTATGAGCGATACTATCGCGATAGTATCGAGGTTAATTCTGCAAACTATCAAAACTATCGATGGGGCCTACCATCGATGTTTTTGCAGCTCTAGGTTGCTGAGTTTATTTTTATTAGGCAGTGAAAATGGCAGTATCAAAAGGAGAGAGAAAGGAGCGAGTCTGGTGTTGCCAGATCGCGTGCCTTCCAGGGTATCGATGTATCGATATACAAAATAATAAGATTTCGGATTTCATCAAATAAACTATTTACAATGTGATAGAAATAATAGTCAGCGGAGGCGTTCTCCTCCAACAGACAATATGCATGGTTTCAAACTAGTTCCTACTGAAACCGTCAAAATTGGTTTTGATGGTGTAGAGTTGCCTGGAAAAATCTCTTTTTGGTGTCTGTTCCCTGAAAATAAGCCACTACATACCTACATTCGCCAATGTTTTAAATGTAGACGTCTTAATCAAGTCTGTAGGACGGTGTATTAAGTGTGGTGCACAGGGCTGTCAGGGTGCCTGTTTAACCCTAAAGTGCATTCTATGCAATGCGAAAAATCATTCAGCCAAAGATCGGAAAATCTGTTCAGTTTGGGAGAAAGAAAATTATGACCGTTAAAAAGATTGCGAGAAAAGAGGTATTAAGTAAGTACGCCATTCAACAAAACTACTCAAGGTTTGACAATTATGAGAAGAATTTTTCGGCTCTTAGTCAGAAAGAAGAAGCAGTGCAAAACAAGGATAAAAAAAAATGGAGTACTGAAAAAGCAGTTATGCCAGTCGAATTATATTAAAACCAACGATTCCTGTACTAGTGATCATATTCCGACATATCCAACGTTCACCGATGAAGATAGATATTATCAATTCATCAACAAGTTAGGGTATAATATAAATTTGAACGAAGAATCGCCAACATCAACACAAGTCGATTTTCATATAAGCAACTATGTAAAAAAAAAAAAAAAAGAAAGAAGAAAACCAGTTGACACAGTTGAAAGAAACATATCTATAATAGCAAAATGAGTCTAAAATTTTTACAACATAATATTGAATCAATAAAATATAATAAAAATGATTTAGAATTTTTCTTGAACAACGAGCCTCCTTAGCAGAAGTCTTTTCTCATGACTTAAGCTTTAGGAAAATAGTAAACTTCACATTACTAGAAAAACACAGAGACGATGGTTATGGAGGAGTGGCAATCGCGTACAAAAAGGATCTTAATGTCAAAGATTCATTTATTAAACAAATTGTGACATTATAGTTGCAAACTTGTCCAAAAAATGCAGTAACATCAAAATTGAATCGTTATATTTTGAGCCTCAACTATCTCTTCCTGTTTTTCAAAATGAAATCACCAACCTAATTGAAAAACAAGAGAGAACGCTATAGTCGGGTTGGTGTCCCGACTATCTAATACCCGTCACTCAGCTAAAGGGAGTGCGAACGCTGTTGGTTGGTGTCCCGACTAATAATCGTAACTCAGCTAAAGGGAGTGCGAGGGAGATAAATATATAAATTTTGATTGCGTATAACTTTTTATACCCTTGTAGAGGGTATTATAATTTCAGTCAGATGTTTGCAACGCAAAGAAGCAGACGTTTCCGACCACATAAAGTATATATATTCTTGATCAGGACCAACAGCCGAGTCTATCTTGCCATGTCCGTCTGTCCGTCTGTATGTCTGTCCGTCTGTCCGTCTGTCCGTTTCTATGCGAACTAGTCTCTCAGTCTTAAAGCTAACGCGATGAAACTTTCCCGAAAGTCTTCTTTCTATTGCAGGTAGTACATATGTCGGAGCGAACCGGATCGGACCACTATATCTAAAGGCTTCCATAGGAATATTCAAACAAATATAAGAAAATTAATTGTAACTTTGTAGGAAGTAGGCGTTTTGATTCTTGACTACATATGTATAAACAAAATTTAAATAGAAACGCTGAATCTGGAATCCCTGGAACTGCACCGAGTGAGCATTACTTTATCTGCAAGGGTATACAAGCTTCGGCTGGCCGAAGCTAGCTTCCTTTCTTGTTAATAATGTCTTCTACATTTCGATAGGTATAAATATACACAACAAAATTGCATTTATACTTCTCGGAAATCTTTAAAGCTGTGGGCTCAGGACCTATTTTAAAATCGTTAGTGGGCGATTGTGGGTGTTAGAGGGGGCGTGGCTCTCGGCTAAAATAAACTTGCGCTGCGTAGGAAGCCAAAGAATATGTGTGGGAAATCTCATCCTTCTACACTCAAAAAAAAAACAGCCCGAAATCGCCATTAAATCAAGAAATTCGCCATGAATTTCAGTCGATGGCGATTTACCGTATTTTTTAGAAAGAAATTTTCTAAAATTAAAAAAAAAAATTCTGAAAAGCAGAAATACTTTTCTAAAATCAAGAAAAATTGCCATAAAATTGAGAAAATTTCCTAAAATCCAGAAAGTACTTTTCTTGAAAATAGAATTTTTTTCTTAAAATAAAAAGGACTTTTTTTATTTTCAGAAAATTTTCTTTATTTTAATAAAATGTATACATATTTATTTTACTATTTTATTTCCTAAACAAGAAAGAGAAAAGAAAATAATAAAGATGAAAAGAAAATTATTAATATTTCCTAAACAAAAAGGGAAAACAAAACAAAAAAGATAAAAATAGGATAATAAATATTTCCTAAAGAAAAAAGAGAAAAGAAAACAAAAAAAGATAAAAATAACATTATAAATATTTCCTAAACAAAAAAGAGAAAAGAAAACAAAAAAGATAAAAAATTATTAATATTCATATTAAGTTGGTATTTAACATATTACCTATTATTAAAATTTACTTACTTACTGCCAAATTATCAACAATACCGGAAATTGAAATTATTTTAGCAATCGAAAATTAAAATTAATATTAGAGAAGGATGGTATTTGCGGCCTGCAATATTATTAATAGCCAAATCTATTAAAATAGTATGCCCTTTGCTTACCATAAATTTTCACACACTTACCAAATTTATATTTAAATTTATTTAAATTGCTTACCTATTAATTGCCTTTTAGAGGGATCGCACTTTAACTGTCTTAAATAGGCTCAATACAAACTTATTACTTTGAATGCTCATCCAAAACTGAGCACAAGGGTTCAAGATGCAGCGCAACGCAAGCAACTCTCTCGCGAGAGACTGCATTTCCAAAACAACGCAATAAAAGTTACAGCTACGCACAAGAAAATTCTCGATCATACGGACAAACACACATAAGCATATACACACATACGCCAAAAACTGTCGTCGCAACGCGCCGCCGACTAACCCCCTGTCTTCTTCTTTTTCGTTTCGAAGAAAGAATGAGAAGCATAAAAGAAATACAAAAAGTTTTTCTTAAATCTATGGTGATTTTCTAATTCTACTTTTCTGTTTTCAAGAAAAAAATTTTTTTTTTAAATCAGAAAAATTCTTAAAATTTAGAAAAATTTACCGTAAATTTTATGGCGACTTTCTAGATTCTAGGAAGGGCGGAAGTACATTTTTTCTTAATTTAATGGTGAAATCGCCATTAATTTAAGAAAACTTTTGGAGAGCAAACTAGGAAAAAACACCATTGATTTAACAAAAAAATTAATTTTTCTAAATTTTAGAAAGCTTTTTCATAAAATTCTGTTTTTATGGTCTTCTTTCCTAGATTCAAGAAAACAATTTCTACAATTCAGAAAATTTTCTA